AGAGAAGAATGTCCTTAGAAGGGTAATTTGGTAGAGCTTTCTAACTGCTGATCACTATAAAAGATCACTGCCATCTTTTTGAAACTTGCTGTTCTTAATAGTTAATATTACCAGTAATAGCAAAGTGCATTTCATGCAGGGAAAGTTGAGTAGAAAGGCAGTAGTATGTAAGGAAAATACCTTTATTTATCCCCCTAGATCCCGACGATCATAGCTGATAATGCGGGCTATGACAGCGCAGATCTGGTTGCTCAGCTGAGAGCTGCTCACAGTGAAGGGAGAAACACCTACGGGCTGGGTAAGTGGCTGGACATTCTTCTCTTGGCTTGGCATTTGCTGCAGATTGGGCTCCCTAAGGTCTGTCACGTCTGTTTGTCATTGATCCATTCAGCTGGGAGAACGGGGTGCATTAATGCCACAGTGCAGCCTTTCTTGTGTGTGTTTTATAAAGGCTGTGTTATCAAGTGGTGCTCCCGTTACTCTGAATCTGTGTTCTTTTTTCATTGTGTTTTCTGGGAAATATAAATCTATGCATATAACTTAAATTGCTTCATTGATAATTTTTTGCCTTGTATCAGTACTGTGATTCAGTTACTACTCTAGTGAAAAAAAGACAAAATAGCATCAGAAAGTGATGGTAAATAGAAGATGAACTGTTTGTATAAACTAGAAATTGCTGTTGGGTGTCAATAACTTTGCCATTTTTTGCTTGAAARGGGCAGTTCTGGAGTTAGTACTCCAAGTTCATATGTTACACTAGGCCTAAAGAGCTTAAGTGGTGAATGTGTTTCATTTTGAGCTGAGGTTTCGTGATGCAGTCAGTCACTTCCTGCCTGTGTAAGGAGGTGGTGATGCAGACACCTATGTTAGTCCTGTTTGCTCTGCACTGTCCAAACTGCTACATTCCTTTATTGTTTTCTGAAGAGGAGGATTTCCACCCAATTGCTCTACTTACTAGTGTCTAGATCTGTGAAGTTCAGAGGAAAGGCAGTGATTGAAAGAAAGCCATCAGGAAAAGGTTGGGGCGAGTGGCTTGGTCTAAAGAAATAACCTAAAGAAAGAGTGCTGAGCGACCTGCTGGGATCTTGTCTCTTCTTCCCAGTGCTAGGAAGTTTTCAATGTTAAATTTTTGTATGTGATTGCAACAAGATGAGCTTAAATCATTAATCTTCAGGTGAGAAGTATTTAGACTTAWTTTCAATTTCACCCCTGTTATCAATACGTTTTGCTTGAGCAGGAGTGCTGTCACACTGTCATTTTTATTTTAACTTTCTTAAAAGGAAGCACAGGCAAAAAGGCCATAATGTCTCTTTCTCTTTAAAGACATGAAAGAGGGAGTCATTGGAGACATGGCAGTCTTGGGAGTGACAGAAAGTTTCCAAGTCAAGAGGCAGGTTTTGCTGAGTGCAGCTGAAGCAGCAGAAATGATTCTTCGTGTGGACGACATCATTAAAGCAGCACCAAGGTACTGCTAGAACATCTGCATTAACCAGATTGAATGCTATTAGAATGACCTTCTGTGGAAAAGGACCCGTGCAGCAAGTCTGCTTTAAAAATACTTTATTTGAAAGGAATAGTGGTGTCTGAGGTGCTAAGGTTCGTTTTGTACACCTGTGCTCTGCATCATGCATTARGCTTAGGACCAGGCTCTTGGCGTGGGTGGCCTGTGGAAGGCAGACGTGCCCGAGCCAGGCCCTGGGCACCTTCAGTCACCAGCTTCCCCTGTGCTCTGTAGCACCCACAGACCTGCCAGAGTCCGTTTTGCCTGAGCACAATGTCAGGTGCTGGGTGGTGCTTTTCCATTTGTTACAAGCTAGGTTTACTAAAAAATYCCATTTGTGGGCAGGTTATCCCATGCACTTAATAGTTTTCACTGTTTTTAAAAAAAAAAATACTCATTTATATTTTATTATACACRTATATGAATATAATAGAGATTTGTATGCTTTACTCATATTTACATATTTGTATTTATTTTAACCTGCTCTGAGCAGGTTAATAGCTTTGAGAGAATACTGTCTTCTGCGATGCAAGATAAAGGCTAGCATTGAATGTAAAATAAGAACTAAGAAGATAAAAATGAGTGGAAGGAAATGGTGGATAGACATCRGTGGGGAAAACATTCTGATTTTTCTTTTTCTCCCTAGAAAACGTGTGCCAGACCATCGCCCATGTTAAACTCTTCAGTGCCTGGTGACGTGTGGACCAGATTTCACCTAGTATTTTTTTTAATGATTTAGTTCTTGCGAGGCTGTGGAACAGAAGCTTAAGTTGAGCATCTCCATGAATAGCATGAGCTTTCTGTTGATTTTAAATTATTTCAGTTTGTGTTGATGGGAGGATTCACTTTCAAATAAAACACGGGGTTWTACAACCCTGATTCTTGTTCCAGGTTCCACTTAAAATACACTGAAATAAAAAACACAGTTTCATCAAAGTTGTGTTTGTCCTTCTGTAGAAATGTAATTTCTTCAGAGCGGTGACAGTGCCTGTCCTCGGTGTTGAGGTGCTGTCATGAACTGTGGTCAGGCAAGTCATGCACGTGGTGTCTTCTGAAGATAGGGCCCTGCCTGCTTTTGTAGTTGCCTTCTTTGTGTTAAATGGGTGCATTTTGTACGTGCAGCTTGCTCTGGTCCTGCCTGTGTGGGTTTTGAGCTGGGATCCTGCAAGTGGGCTCTGCAGTAAGTTGTATGTGTGGTGTCATTAGTGATACTGCAGTAATGCTCCTGTGCTGATGATGCAAGGAAGGTTAAAGGCTGAAGCTGGATGTTAGTCCGTGTCCAGAACTGCACCTCAGGAGCTTTCTGCATCGTGAGTTAGTGTGTTTAAGGAGACACAAGTTCTGCTGGGCACTTCTGAGTGGAAAACACAGCTTGGGGGTAAGTAAGTGTCCTGGATTGAACTAAGTCCGTTTGTTCTCAGTGCAGCCTGTTAGATACTGGCCTTGGGCTAACGTCTTCACAAGTATCTGTTACGATAGGAGGACAACTACTGAGCTGCTGCACTACATCCCTCATCCTTTCTTCTTGCCTCTGCCTCATSAAACCTGCTCTGGTGTTGATGGTTTTCAATGTCTGTTGTGACCTGTCACTGATTCTCAGAAGGCAACGTATCCTTTAACTGCACTAATTTCTTTATCCGCAGATCCCTGTGGCTTCTGCTGCGGATTTCATGGAGCAGCAGCAAGGGGAGGAGCYCCTGTCCATAGAGTAGTGTGTAGAGGGGTCAGGTGGGCAGTAGGACCCTGTTCAGGGGCAGAGCAGCTCCTGGACGCGAGGCTGGGAGGCTGCTGAAGCTGCAAGGTTGACCTCAAATCAAGAAGAGGGCATCCTGAAATGAAGAGAATCAGTTCAGGAAATACTCTTCCCAACTCTGAAAAGAGGCTCTCTTCAACCTATGGGAAGTGCCACTATTGTCTTTARGAATACTGCAGTAATTAGAAACTATTCACAAGCAGGTGAAATGCATTCTCTATGATAAGTTATGAGTTACCATGTCTTTAGGAAATGAACACTTGGAATTTTTATGTTTATTCAACAGGATAAGAGTTTTGCTTTTTATTTTTAATTTTCCTTTGTCAGAAAGAGTAGTTTGCTGGAAGAGGGGTTAGGTGAAGTATCTGAGAAGAGGCAAACAGGCTAAATTCCAAAGAAAGTGAAACGCCGTCAGACCTGTACAATTTATTTAATGAAGGGTAAGTACATTACACGGGTGCCAGCCAGATCCAAATTCAGACTACACTTAACAAGACAGGACGTGCTAACAATCTCTCAAGATAATTTTTCAGAGCAGGTAAGTGACATGAAGCAGGCACAAGCGGGCGCTGAACCAAACCTTTTATGGGAAGTCAGCTGTCACTTCGGCCCATGGGGGTGGTAAGAAATGACCGCCCTGCCAAAGGAGGGGAAAASTGGCTGCTCTACTTCATGGATGGCTCCCTGCCTCTTAATAAAAAAAAAAAAAAAAGGCTGGGCTGTCTTTGGGTTGAATGCTCAGTGCTATAGAACATGGAATGAAAATTACAATCTGGCTCAAAATGAAATGACATTTTTATGTTACTTGAACATATATATTTATTAAAAAAGTGTATATATACACATGCTAATTTCTTAGGAAATCCAAACACGGCTTAATTTTGTAGGAGAACTAGCCTGCTGCCCTCAATTAAAGCCTGACTGAACCTGTCTCTTCTGCACGAGTTTGTAAGTGCAGCCTCCCCCTCTTAATCGCCGCTCCTGCAAATTTACCTTTACAGCTCTTGTCGTTTTTCCATTTATGCAGCTTTGGGTTTCCTTCTTTGCCACTGTGCGAAGGTTTGGTGTATAGGTAGCTGTCTTAACAGACAGTGCTAGGGGTTACATAAACGCTCTCAAAAAAGCTTCTAGCTTTCCTCGTACTCATTTTAAATAACAAAGTAGTGACTGTCACGTATTTTCTGGGAAGCAGAAGGCAGCTCTGAGAGGAGAGCTGACACGTGGGTGCAGTTCCCTGGATCTATGACCAGGCCTCYGTAAGCCCGTCCTGCAGGGCAGGAGCAGAACTCTTCACGCTGTTTCTCCTGCCGCTGCTCCTTGAATCCAGGTCACTTGAGAGGCGGGCTGTGATCAACACTCGTCTGTGCTTCGCAGTCACCTGCAGCTGCGGGTTCCAGCTGCGCTCGGCCACCTCGGCAGGGTGGGGAAGGAAGAGCGTGGCCGTGGGCTGCTCCTGGCCAGCAAAAGCAAGTCCAGCTGGCTCTGGAGCACAGGGAACTGCCGCAGTGGGGTCCTCCTCTCCGCTGCGTCTCTTACTGGTCCCCACTAGCAGGAGGGGCAAGGGGACTAACTCTGGGCTTTRGAGGGTGTCTGTGAAAGGGTCCTGCTGCTGCGGAGCTCTAAGGGGCGCAGCTGCCCAAAGGGCTTATCCGGGTGCAGACCTGGGGCCCTGCGGCCGCCTGAGCTCGGCTCAGCCGCCTGAGCTCCCTCGGCTGCCTGGGCTCGGCTCAGCCGCCTGGGCTCAGCTCAGCTGGGCTCCTCCTCCCGCTCGTCCTTGTCTCCGGCGGGCGGCAGCGGCAGCAGCCCCTCGGGCGCCACGTSCACGAGCGCCCCGGAGCGCTTGCGGGGCTCGGGGCTCTCCTCGGCCCACCTGCCCACCCTGCGCACCCCRCGCGCCACCTTGGGCGCGTTGCGGCACGGGTTGTGGTCGTAGATGACCAGCTTGAGGCCGGGCAGGTGGGCCAGGCTGGGGAAGCAGCGGATGCCGTTGCGGTCCACGTCGATCACCTCGAGCCAGGGCATGTGCAGCAGCACCGGCGGGAACTCGGAGAGCAGGTTGCCCGAGAGCCAGAGCGTGCGCAGCTCGCGCAGGCCGCGCAGCGCCGCGGGCAGCCCGCGCAGCGCGTTGCAGCCGGCGTGCAGCGTCCTGAGCAGGCGCAGCTCGCACACCACGGCGGGCAGCCGCGGCAGGCGGTTGCCCTCGAGCCAGAGCGCGCGGAGGTTGCGCAGGAGCCGGAGCTCGGCGGGCAGGCTGCAGAGCCGGTTGTTGCCCAGGTAGAGGACGCCGAGCTGCCGCAGCGCGCACACCGCCGGCGGCAGCGCCTTGAAGTGGTTGAAGTCCAGCGCCAGGAGCTGCAGGTTTTGCAGCTGCTCCAGCTCGGCCGGCAGGTAGCTGAGGTTGTTGTCGCTCAGGTAGAGCTTGACCAGCTCCCTGAAAGAGCAGATGTGCAGAGGGAGCCTTCGCAGCTGCCTGCCGCTCAGGTCCACCACTTTATCCACGGGCATCTCTTCCAGGTCCTCCAGCAGGTACTTCTGGCACCCCTTCGAAGGCACAAAAGCCACGACGGCCTTCAGGCTGTTGCCCATCCTGGGAGTTTCTTAGTGCAGAAGCCCCTGGGGCTGCGACAGGCGGGACAGGGGCCCTCCCTGGCTGTCCCCGGTGTTCACTGCTCCGCGGGTGCCTCCTCCACCCCAATATAAGCTCTGTTCAGGGCGGCACCAGCCGTTAATCTCGAGGGCTCCGAAATGTTCCTGATAACGGATGAGTGTTTGGTGATGGGGCCGGCGCTCGCCTCCCTGCCCTCCCGCCCGCCCAGGAAGGCCGTCCCCGCGCCCGCACGCCGCGGCACGCTCCCCTTCTGCCCCACACGTTCCCTGCGGTGCCCCCAGGCCTGGCGGTGCTCGCGCTGCCTGCGCGGCCCGGGCTCCCTGCGGGGCTGGCTCCAAGCCGTAGCGTAACCCAGCGCTGGACCTGGGAGCTGGAGTGTTTAGCTTTGGTCAAAGAGCCAGCGGAAATGCCAGGTGCAATYTACTCCTTATTTAAAAAAATCCATCCAGACCYGACTAACTTCCCAGGCGAGAGGCACTTCCATGGATTTGCTTTGCAAGGTGCCAAATGCGCAGCTTAACAATGTAACTTGCCACCCCGCGCATATCTCAAACCTTTAACACAAACGCTTGGCAAGCCGCTACCTTTAGCTGCTCTTGTATTTATGTCCCTAATTTAGCTGTGTTTGCCATGGCACCTTGTGCTCTTAACTGTTCCGGGCCGTTTGCATCAGCTTGTGCTTTGCTCTTACCCCAACGCCCGCTTGCCTATCGCACCTGCCAAGGCTGCTCTCCTGCCGCCTTCTGACGTGCTGCTGCGATTCCCGCCTCCACACTCACCCGGCACGGAGCTGCCCGGGCTGCAGTCACACCGGGACTCACACTTTCAGTTCTGCTTCTTCAGTTAGGCTCTTGCAGACACAACCGTGTGGCCACGGCCACCGCTCGCCTGTTGCTCTCGGCCGCCTCTTCTCGAGGCTGCTCCCCGAGCACAGATGTCCTTGGGCACTTTGCCCTCTGGAGCTGCTGCTGCTTTCAAGCCTGTTTTTTACAGCCTGTCCCACCTGCGTGTCTGCCTTTGCTCCCCCGGGATCGGTGGGTTTCGAAGTTGCAAAGGCAGCTCTGCACGTGGCAACCATCTCCTTTGGTAGCAGATCTCCTTTGGTGTCTCCCGCTCGGTGCTGCTCTTTTCCACGCTCAGCACAGCTCAGGAGGGCTATTTTCCTCAACCAGCCGGCGGCCAGTTCCCCGGAGCAGGGCACCCCACACCCAAAACGTGATTGCCAAGGGTCACTGGTTTGGGAAGGAGAAGGGCAGCGAGGGCTGCAACCCGCGAGCCACAAAACGGGCTGAGGAGCCGGGTGGAAACCCCCAGCCTGGACAGCACAGGCACCACGTCTTTTAACACTGCAATCCCAGGCCCTCCTTCAGGGGACTCCCGCAAGGAGCACGTGCTATTCCCAGATTTCATAGCAGTTACCCTGAAACACGTCCTCATTTTTAGGAAAACGCTCTCACGGCCTCAGCAGGCTTTTGTGTTGGTTTTCTAAGCAGCTCCCTTTGAAGGCAAGGGTGCCCGCCCTGCAAAGACGCTGCGTCCTGCAAGCAGGAAAAGGCTGACGTGGTTGGCATATCTAATAAAGGCAGAACGGTAGGATGTGCCATCCAGGACAAAAAACATGCCCCTTACACAGACAGCCTGCTGATTAGCGAAACTTTTATACTTCAGATAAATCTCTCCTAGGGATCCTCTGCATTGGAGTTTAATCATTATTCCGGCTTATCAAAAAAAGTCACAATGACCTCTTGCTGTCGCGTTTCGTCCCGCTGTTGGCTCGGTGAGAGCCTGCTTGGGACACGCTGTGAGATCACAGTATTTGCGGGAAAAKGGCCTTCGTGCTGGTGGGATAGTGAAGGGCTCCATCTGGCACCGTCTTCATCCATCCGAAAGTTAGTGACTCACCAGAGGACATAAAGCAAAAGCAGCCCCTTCTGTAGACCCACCCAAGTGTTTTGACAGTCACTCCACGTCTTCAGAGTCATTCCTGATGCCCTGCAACGCGAGCCTGGATGACTTCCCAGAAGCATCTATGGCATTCGAGGAGAAGCTCGGGAGATAAGGGTGCCCAGCACAGCCATCGCCTTGCTCTTGTCGGAGCGACTCTGCTGTAGCAGAGGACGGGGCATCTGCTCTGATCTGCTCTGCTTCTTTCGGAGGGGTCTGRGCAGCCTTCTCAGGCCAAGTCTGTGCTTTCTGCAAACCCCCAAGAGACCCCGTCTGTTCCTCAGCTCAAATCTTGACCTGCTAGTCCTGTGTTTAGAGCTAGTTCAGGGTTCAGCTCTGGYGGCTGTGTGGACAGAAAGCTTCATAGCTTCCCATGGGACAAGAGGAAATGGCCTCAAGTTGCACCTGGGSAGGTTCAGGTCAGATATTAGGAAAAAGCCCTACATGGAAAGAGCAGTCAAGCACTGAACAGGCTGCCCAGGGAGGTGGTGGAGGCCCCGRCCCTGGCCGTGTTCAAGAAACGTGTAGATGAGGGACGTGGTTGGCAGGTTTGGTGGGGACACACTTACAGCTGGACTCCATCTTGACGTTTTTTTCCAACCATGACGATCCTATGGTTTTCCAGAAAACTTTTTGAAGTTACAGTGTTAACAGCAATTGCAAACGGTGTTGCAGTGGTTAAGGGTTTCTCAAAAGCCGCTGAGGAGATTCAGGCCAAAAGGGTTGGACACGAAGCGAGTGGTTGTCATCATGTACCTTCTGCACCAAGAGCCAGTAAAGAGCTACATGGCTTAACCCTGTTCACGTGCTCRTGTGAGCGATATTCTTCATACTAGATGTTGAAATAAGTAACAAATGGGTTGGGTTTAYGGTCTGACTTGATGATCTTGAAGGTCTTTCCCAACCATAAGAATTCTGTGATTAATTCCTCGCGGAAAGCTTGCATATAAATTCCGAGTCTAGCAGAAACTATGAACGCTCCTCAAAGCAAGATACTTAAAAAAATAATCATAAGAAAATAGAAATCTCTATAAAAAAGATGCATAGATATTCCTGCATGTTAGAGATTGTTTCTTGAAACAGTGCAGTGATTGAGCTGTAGATCCTGGTGCTTTCTTAGACCCAAGACTCTGCCTCTGGGTTAGGGTAGCAGGCTCTCAGCCCTGCCTGGGAACAGCTTTTCAAGCCCTTGCAGTTTCAGAGGTAAATCTGAAAGAGCAAGACACATATTTCAAAATCCAATGACTTTTAATGAAGAGAGCTTTAAATTCAATACCCTTCTCAAGCCTCTTTTCAGTCAGTGTGGCATGCTAAGGAAAGAGGCTTGGAGTAGTTTTGGATGTGTCTTTACTATATACTGAAAATGATTTGCTTTACATTTATTTAAAATCTGTAACTGTTGTTTAGACCTCCTCTCTCACCAATACCATATGCTTGTTTGGTTTTGCTGTCTGCATTTACTGGAACTTTACTGTCAGAGCATGCGATGACTCTTCTGCTTGTTCTAGAAATTCCTTCTTTGTTGGGCAGTTTCACACACTTGCTCTCCTTCTGAAGGTGGCCTGTTTAATTCCAGTTTACCTCCAAGCTGCATTTTAAAGCAAGTGTTGAACTGCAGGGGAACAGGGCAAAAATAGTCATTGCTCTTTCCCCAGCACGCCAGCATTCTTTCAAACAAAAATGGCTCATGATGATTAYTCCAATTTAGCCTTAATGTATTCTCTTTCATAGTACATAATTGCTCACACTTTCTCTTACAGAAAAGAGCCTCAGTAAATCTCCTGAGTAAATTGCAAGGTCGGTGTTAAGTTTCCTCACAGGCATCTGATGGGTTTGGGGGCTTTTTTGCCCTCTGTCAGACCAGAGTCTCTTTTTGACACCATTATTTTCCTGCCAACTTGACTCCAGCCCAAATGTCGGGTAGGGGTGGGAGCTACTAACCTCCTGAGCAAATAAATCAGGGTGAGTCCAAATGTCTCATTGAAATGTGTGCAACAACCTTTGATTGAAACGGCCTGAGCAGCTGTATGAGAGCAGAAAGCCACTGGTTATTTGTTGCTTTATGCTGCGGGCTATTAAGGCCCTCTGCTTTGGGTGTTGATCACATTTATGCTTGGGCTAGAGCTTTCACAYAAACAAGGTATTAATCTCCAGCCGTGGAGGGCTGACTTGTCACAATGCTAGCAAATATCTGCGTGTTTGGTCCTTCTGTATAGAAATGGAACTGCTACATCTTATATCCTTTCTTCTCCTCCTTGGATGCCTCTGGGATACTGTAAAGGGAGCAGGAAACGCAGCTTGTGTGGAGGGAATCAGGTCATTCCGTGGCCTCCCTTCCCCATGCCAACAGGTGCCAAGCTTGCTCCRTTTTGCTATTTTTATGTAAAAGATATCGAAGCTTGATGGTAAAATGTATTTCCAGTCTAGCCTGGGTCCCGGTTATCTGTGCCTAAATATTTCCACTGGGCACCAATATTTGCACAATCCAGCGGTGACTCTGAGAACACATCAACGAGCACTGACCTCCGGGGATTGATTGACCTGGCCGAGAGCCCCGTGCTGCCACTGAGGTATAAAAAAGAGACTTTGGCATCGATGAGCATCACTCGGCTCTGAAACTGCTCGGAGCCATGAGGGCGATACTGTTGGCTCTGGTTTGCATCCCGCTCGCCATGGCCTTGGAAAGGTAAGGAAAGACGCGTGGCTCCATGGAGCGCCTCTCAGMTGAGCTCCTGCAGTGACCCCGGCCCGCGGCTGCCCGCGGGAAAGGCACAAAGGAAAAGGAATAAATGCTCGAGTTGTCTAGAGAGGGGATCTGCTTAACATTTTGTGCCTTGATTTCGTTCACTTAGAATCCCCCTCGTTCGCTTCAAATCTATCAAGAAGCAGCTGAAAGAAAAGGGAGAGTTAGAGCAGTTCTGGAGAAACTACCACCCCGACATTTTTGCTCAGAGGTACCTGCATTGCTTCCCTTCAGATATTACCTTGTCGGTAGGAACTGCTTCCGAAAGGCTGTATGATTACATGAACGTAAGTACAACTCCGGTAACGCAATCGTAAGGACTCTTTGCTCTACTGAAGGCAGATTTCCCCYCACCCCAGCGCATTTGAAATCAGGGCTCTCAGCGAAATTATAGCACTTGAGATGAATGATTCCTTGCTATACACTACAAATACTGCACAATCAGAAATCCATTTACCAGTCTGCAAAGTAAAACCTATATCGGACGATGCTGGGATCAGTAGGAGACTGATGTAGTCCAGCAACAGCAGTCCTACAATAAGCCTGATTCTTGTAAAAACCTATGTTGGAGTTCATTGAGTCTCCAAGCAAATGTGGAAGGTCTTCCTGCATTCATCTTGGTTCAGGATTGGATTTTAAGAGCAGCATCTGATTAGTTCATTTATATATATATACATATATATATATATGTATATATATATATATGTATATATATATGCTATCTATCAGAAACTTGGATGTTTACATGTTAAATGATACATATATATCATTTATCTGATCATGTGGAGTCATAAATCAGTGATACTGAAGGCCCAAGCAGAGGTTTTATTTTTCTGCTTTTATTACTTGAGTTTAAAGTATATTTGGTAAAGACTCAGGTCAAACACTAACCTRGGTGAATCTACCTCTTAAACTGAAGAAAGGAAAGATATGAGCCCACCCTACGAGGGCCAGTGTTTTTGTAAATTGTTTCTCCTGGTGTTAGCATTTTGTCTATTTTGTCAGTCTTTTCTCTATTTTGCTCAATATTGTTGCTGTGTTTATCGAAAGCAAAGTCAGGTTACCAAAATTTCTGGGGAAGCTTCATTTAAACAGGGAAAGGGAAGGAAAGGCAAATTAATTCAGCAAGAGCTTTCTAACACTTGAGGGTCATAAAGAAATGTGTGAAGATGAGCTAGAAATGTGTGTGATAAAGTGCAAAAGAGACTGAAAAGTGGCAGCCATCTCTGAAGCCTGTCAAAAGAACATAAGCATCAAAGTAACAACAGAAAACATGCTCCCAGCATATCCAGTAACCACCAGCAACAGGCTAGTGGAGGTTTCGGTGCCATGTCTGGGATTTTTGGYCATTTTGTAGAGCTGCCTCGCTTTAGAGGTTAAGGAATAGAGAATAAGCAATTATTCAATACAATGTCTAACAAAATCCTGCTGTGTAGCCTGGTATGCTGTTACCTGGCACATATACTTGCATTTTTAGTGACGGTCTCGCTTAGCATGTAATCTCTGGGAGAGAGCAGAAACCGTGCTCCAAGTATTAATTAACAAGTACGCACTTGAAGCTACATATACAAATATTTGCGTTGCTGCAAAAGACCTGGCCCTGGATATTACTTTTCTATCTCCATTTGAATTCCAGAAATGCCTCTTCCTAAAAATAGGAAGTGCTCTTAGTGCTCAAGTGCTCTTTCTTGGCCAGATAAGCRCCCTTAAACACTTGCACTTTGGTGGCCGATAAACCCTTCACTGCAGAGCTCATGTGCTCACAGATTGCCCCTATCTTCTGTTGCTRTCCAAGGACATTCAGTGGTTTCTCTGTCCACTGGATAGACTTTGTCCTTTGCCTCTGGTGCAGTTTGTGAAGCTGGAGCTCCTTTTAGCTTGCTAACGGCAGCTAATTGCAATGTGTCCAAAGGGAAAAGCACAGCTCCCGTGACGCTGTTGGCACCTTGGCCACCAGCAGAGCTGCATCTTGCTGGCTTTGATTTCATGCTGCTGCCTGTAGGGAGCTACCGAAAGGACTGCACGTTTTGTGGGAGCTTTGCCTTGGAATGGCCTTGCTTCCCTGGAGGCCAGCGGATGGACAGCTTGTTGGCTTCACTGGGAACAGCACTGGGCATGTGCTTAAATTGCTTTAAAATGCACGGTGCTCTTTAAAATGCATAGAGCGAAGGCAGCCACCCACGGAGCCAGGAATGGCTCCTTGCCCCTAGCGACAGGGCTAAATCCGACTGCAGGGAAAGCCTTGGGAACGCATTCACCGGCACGCGGAGGCCCTGTCTTCTCCCGGGGAGCAGCTGGCGCGGCGGCGGYGCTGACCGCGGCGGCTCTTCCCTCCGCAGGCTCAGTACTACGGCGTGGTGAGCGTGGGCACSCCGCCGCAGGCCTTCACCGTCGTGTTCGACACGGGCTCCTCCAACTTCTGGGTGCCCTCGGCCTACTGCATCAGCGAGGCGTGCAGTAAGCAGCGCCGCGGGGCCGGCGTCTCGGCGGCYGGACGCCATTCCTCCCTCCCTCCCTCCTTCCCAAAGCAGCTCCCCGGCCAAGATCCAAGGCCCCGCGTCCCGCATGGCTGCTCTTTCCCTGTGCTTCATCGGCACCCAGGGATTACAGCTCAGCCCCGCCTAACTCAGCGTGGGCCTCCAGGAAGGCCCAGCCTGAAGGTTCAGGTGGGCACAGGCCGAGCAGGGGTTTCTCCTTTCCCTCACGAGGTCACGGGAACCGCGGGGCTCCCCAGGGCCAGCAAAAGCCAGAGTCGCCTGGTGGGATTGCCAGGAGCCGGGAGGGCGGGATTGGGAGGCTCCCAGCGCTGCCGATCCCGGTGCCTCCAAAGGGGCTCTCCCGGCAGCATGGCGGTGGGAGCAGGCGCCCGTCCCCGCGCCTCCCGCCGCCTCTTTGGCCTCGTGCAGGGGGGCACCAGAGGTTCAAGTCCTTCCAGTCGGACTCGTACGAGCACGGTGGCGAGGCCTTTTCCTTGCAGTACGGCACRGGGCAGCTCCTGGGCATCGCCGGCAAGGACACGCTGCAGGTGAGCGGCTCCCGGGCCACCAGCCAGCCAAGCACACCCAACACATCCAAACACAAGGCTTTTTCCTGCAAAGAGCAAGCAAAGAGCTTGTTTCTCCTGCTTGCAACCCGCTCTGGGGTCAGTCACACAAGAAGCTTCAGCCTCTGTCCACCACATTTAGTAACCTGAATGAATCATGAATCAGAATCCCAGAAGGGTTGATGTTGGTAGGGACCTCTAGAGACCACCCAGTCCAACCCCTGCTCCAGCAGGGACACCCAGAGCACGGGGCACAGGGCGGCATCCGGGCGGGTTTGGAAGATCTCCAGAGAAGGAGACTCCACAGCCTCCCTGGGCAGCCTGTGCCAGGGCTCTGTCACCCTCACAGTGAAGAAGTTTCTTCTCACCTGGAGATGGAACTGCCTGGGTTTCATCTTGCACCCATTGCCCCTTGTCCTGTCACTTGCCACCAATGAGAAGACCTTGGCTCCTTCCTCCCTACATTCCCCCTTCATGAACTTGTACATGTTAATCATGAGTCAGCATGCATCCCAAACAGAATTAGTATCCTCTAATTGATGCTGACTTTACTCTTTATTATTTTATTTATTTTATTTTATTTTATTTTATTTTATTTTATTTTATTTTATTTTATTTTATTTTATTTTATTTTATTTTATTTTATTTTATTTTTATTTTGCTTTGCTTTGCTTTTCGAGCAGATCAGTAACATTTCCATCAAGGCGCAGGACTTTGGCGAGTCCGTGTTTGAGCCGGGCATAACGTTTGCCCTGGCGCACTTCGATGGGGTGCTGGGCCTGGGCTACCCCTCGCTCGCCGTGGGCAACGCGCTGCCCGTCTTCGACAGCATCATGAACCAGGGGCTGGTGGAGCAGCCCCTCTTCTCCTTCTACCTGAGAAGGTCGGTCCTGGAAGCCATGGTGGCAACAAAAGTGATTTTCCGTAGCATGTCCAGAAAGAGCTGTCGGGGGAGGGAGCAACATAGACGAGCTCTTGTGCCTGAAAATGCTACCAAATCTGTGTCTTTAAGTGTTATTTTTGCTTTAAGTGTTATTTTTGCTCTCTCTCTCTATGCCACATTATATGTAATAAACACAAAGACCTAAAAAAGGAAAAATAACAGATTTACAAAGTTTGTATTATAAATTTATATTTATATAAGTATTTATATGTCTAAAATATTTCTATATTTATATAAAATACATATATAAGTATATAGCTTATATGATCTATATATTTACATACATATATGCTGTACACGCTATATGCACTGTATTATATATTATATGTGCTGTACATTTACAAAGTAAAACTATTTATATAGTTTATACTTATATAACCTAGACATATTTGTTTAGAATTTTATTCTAGGATTTCTAGAATTTTATTCTAGATTTATTTAGATACTGTCTTATGTTTAAATATAGCCATTCAAGAGACAAAAGAAAAGAAAAATACACCCCTCCTTAAGTCTCCTATCCTGACAGAAATTGGTAAAAAATAATCTGATTTTGGAGGCTGGTGGATTCCTTCCCATTTTCTTCTTTATTTTTCACTTTATAATAAAGCTCATCACAGGACAAACCCAAAGCCCTCAGCTCAATCTTGAATTGTTTTGAGTTGCCAGATTTCTTTTTGGTGAGTGGAGAAGTACAGAAATGCATTGCTACACCCAAGTGGCCACATTTTGGAAAAGGAAATGTTTGTTCCCAAGACTAAACCTAGTTGCAACTCCACAAAAACACTAGATTTATCTAGTGTTTGTTCTGAGGTGAGACTCACAGCTGGCTCAGCCTGCTCCTAGTGACTCTCTCCAGCCCTCAGCAACCTAAGGTAAATTTTCCCAGTTTTTTTTTGATGCTCCGAATGGGGACGTGCTCAGTTAGTTACAACTTAAAAATTATCTATATCCATGGTGCATATATGAATTTAGAAAAGGCCACAGTTCATCTTCTGCTTTTTAAAAGGTAATCTTGTCACGAACCTTGTGTGGGAGCCTATTCTTATGTTTGCCTTGGCTTGTTTTATGTTTTTAGAGGAGAAGACACGGAGAACGGTGGTGAGTTAATCCTGGGGGGTATCGACCATTCCCTCTACAAAGGCTCCATTCACTGGGTCCCGGTCACTGAGAAAAGCTACTGGCAAATACATCTTAACAAGTGCGTATGGAAGCGATGCCAGCAACATTCACCTCTTCCATAAAACTTGCAGAGAAAGAAGAGCCTTGCTGTGTGCTTGCAGAACAGCTCGTTGGTGTTTTTTTTTGCTCATCCCAAAGAGGGGCCTCATGGGGTGCAACTGAGAAGTGCTTTCCATAGGGCATTTTAATATGTTTTAATATGACCCTCATAATGCTCAAGTGGACTCTTGGGAGATAATCCAGACAAGGGGTTAAGGCACCAAGAAAATGAACCCAGCTCCAGTTGCTGCTACTTTTAATCCTTCTTTTTAAGCATGCCCAAAGTAGTCAGGGGCCTCCTGTTCCTCCTGTGTGCAGTGACAAGGGCACAGATCTCACAGGTGTCACCTTGTGTGTGTGGACAAGTTCATCAGCAGACAGCAAATGACCAGCACTACAGGAGTCCTAGGACTTTATTCTCTTGTTTTATTCATTTATTTATTTTCCGCTTGCAGTATAAAGATCCAAGGCCAGGTGGCATTTTGCTCCCACGGTTGTGAAGCCATCGTGGATTCGGGCACTTCCCTCATCACTGGCCCCTCTTCCCAGATCAGGCGGCTGCAGGCCTATATCGGAGCGACTCCCTCGCAGATGGGAGAGGTAAGTCCAGCCAGGGCGGGAGGGAATCTCTTTGGTGCATGGATCTTATCAGCTGCAGAAGGGAAGAGAAAAACCAAAATAAGAGCTCAGGAAAGGTCTCAGGGAAAGTGCTGAATGCAGAGCCAGGCTGCTGCCTCCCAGGTGTCCATGTCCTCTTACCCTCTCTTCAGGCATGTGTGGAAGGAGGTGATGGGGACATCTGCTTAAGGAATTGCTCTGTTACTACTGATAAGGGCTAATGTTTTGTGCCAGCTTCAGGCAGGCTAAGCATATTGGCTCAAATACATCCTCATGTGAGTATGTGCATCCATCAGTGATTTTACAAGAGCTTCTTTCCACCAAGAATTCATTTTTCCTAGATATACTAACTAGGTAAATTAAATTAAGTCTTGCTTCTCATGTCCTACGCTGGCATTTTAGTGGTTCTGTAACTCTTGACCTTGGTTTGTTTTGTTGCTATGCTGGTATGACACTTAAGAGCATACAAAATAGTTAGGGATATGTTTTCATAAAGCGGCTTTAACAACAAAACAGAGGGCTCTTCCTTATGGGAAGCCTTGCAACCAATGACTTTAAACATTGCAAAAATCCCTCTGGGGCTCAGAACCTTTTGCAGTGCCCTTTAGCATCCCAGTTGTTTCATGAAAGAAATAGAGAGGCCAGGAAATGGTCCTCTGTGTTACTCTAAGTGCCTGCTGTATTTGTAGAGATAAACAGTCTTGCTCTGCTCTTCCAATTCCACTCCAGGGCAGAGTAAAGCCTAAAGCCTGGTCTTCCCCCAGGCTTTCTGCATGGGCCCCTTCCTGTAAACATAACATACTGCTGAGCACAGGACCAGAGCAGCTGCCCCGAGCACGGGAGCAGTTCTCTTTGGCAGAACTTGCTCGTGTCTCCTTTGCAGGGAGGGCACGGGGTGCTCATGAGCTCGGCTTGGTGTCTGAGCCGTGCAGGGGTCAGGGTGCCCCTGGCCTTGCCTGTTCTGGGGCTCGTGAGGGCTGTTGTCAGCCGTGACCCTCAAGGGCTCTGAGGCTGATGGCCTGGTAGCAGGGGTTGAACCAATATGGGGTCGGCAGGAGGGCAGTGCTGGTTTTGGTAGTAAATTTGGCAGCATCTTTAAGCTGGTTTTGGTAGTAAATTCACCATTGTAGCAAAATTCTTGAGTGCCAAGAGCAGCATTATAAAACAAAACTCAAACCAAACCGCAAACCAATCCCGCATCAACAAACGCATTGCGCGCAGTTCCTCGTCGACTGCAGAAGACTGTCCAGCCTGCCCCACATCAGCTTCACCATCGGGCACCGCGAGTACAAGCTGACGGCCGAGCACTACGTGATAAAGGTGCGTGCTCGGCGCAGCCGCGCGGCTCCGCCGCCGCGGGCAGCCACGAGGGCCRCCGCTCTCCTCCGCTTTCCCTTGCAGGAGTCCGTGGACGACCAGACCATCTGCATGAGCGGCTTCCAGTCGCTGGATATCTCCACTCGCGCCGGCCCGCTCTGGATTTTGGGAGACGTCTTTATGTCCGCCTTCTACTGCGTCTTTGACCGAGGGAATGACAGAGTGGGATTTGCAAAATCTGCGCATCGGAAGGACTACCACTGAGTCCCAATGGGATTATTTTTCTGCCTTRGCCTGCGTGTTACTGTAGTGATCTTCTGCATACACGGGAAGAAGGGCTTTGTCCGAATCCCTGGACCTGAATTCAGCCCCCCAGGTTTTAAGGGCTTGGGGTGATCCTTGGCCCAAGTTGTACAGTTTGGTTCAACCTCTCTATGTTTACACCTGAGAAACATTTTTTTTTCTGCATASTCTCTAGATAACATGAAAATAGCTCGACATTCAGATTTGCAAAAGAAGGCTAAAAGGCCAAGCAGCACAAGGGTGTTGTGACAACAGTTACAAATGGGTGAAAACAATCCTAGTCTGATCTGCTCCGAGGATTCTTCCTTTCTCTTCTTGCCTGTCAGCCTCCATCTCATTTCCTGCTGATTTCTCTTTCCTGACTGCTTCCCATTTTATAATTTATTCTTTGGCATTTTGTCCAGCCATAAATTCTCTTTATGGGTCTTGCTCCAACCAGCTTACCTGCAGAGGAGCTGGACCATGCCCTGCTGAAATGTGACCCTTTCTCCTGCCATTCCCTGCTCCTTACGTCACTTCTTCAACCTGCCATTGCCCCTGTGGGTTCAGTCTCACTTGGCACTGTTCCTTCTCACGTGTCTTGGTGTCTGACATCTCGGGCTTCAGGCAGATGCTCTCTCTGCCTGTTGCCTCTTCTGGCAGCTGAGAGCAGCATCTAGTTGTGTGACCAAAGTCAGAGCACGGTCACTGTGAAAGGGAAAGGAATCCCTGCTGGGAAATGGTCKGGCAGCACCCCTCATTTTGGAGCAGTGACAGGGCCAAAGCCCCAGCACTGAGCCTGTGCTGTGGCTCCTTGGCAGTAGCTCCAGATCCAACAGGTATGAAACGGCCATGGGTTGCTGCCTTGTGTCCGCAAGCAGTACAGTAGAAGACAACTCACCTCAATAATGCCCATCCGAATGTTTGTTTTGATGGTCAAAGATGATGTCCATATACACGTGAATAAACTCAATCAAGGATACTCTCCTGTTGACCTAATGCTGTTTCAATTTTATGTTAAATTTTCTTGCTATGGGCCCTACACAATGAGGGCTTTATTTGTGGCTGCTCTCACAGCCAAGGCTGGAGAGGAAGAGGGAAGAAAGTAAAACAGTAATTGAATTCCCACTTTGCTCTAAGATATGAAGGGAGATATGTGTCCATCCTAGGAGACGGGAAACACTTGGGCTTCCATTGACTCTGTAGCACCAAAACCCATCAATGCAGAGGACAGCTGTGTTTGCAGAGCAGTGCTGCTTCCGAGGCTCTCAAACACAGCCACAGCGCAGGGCTGAGAGGCTGGAGGGGAAGCCGCTCCTGCCCATGGGGATTCCACTCTTGAGGGATTTGCTGCTCCTGCTGCTCCTGTGTGTCCCCGTGTGCTTAACACACAACAGATGAGTTGGGCACAGCTGGGTAGAGAGAAACCTCATGAGGTTCAGCTAGGACAAGTGCAGGATCCTGCACCTGGGGAGGAATAACCCCAGGCACCAGGACGGATTAGGAGTYGACCTGCTGGAAAGCAGCTCTACAGAGAGGGACCTGGGAGTCCTGGTTGACACCAAGTTAACCATCAGGCAGCAGTGCCCTCGTGGCCAAGGAGGCCAATGGGATCCTGGCCTGCATCAGGAGGAGTGTTGCCAGCAGGTCAAGGGAGGGGATCCTGCCCCTCTCCTCAGCTCTGGTGAGGCCGCACCTGGAGTGTTGGGGGCAGTTCTGGGCTCCCCAGGACAAGAGGGACATGGAGCTCCTAGAGAGGGTCCAGCAGAGAGACAAAGACGATTAAGGGACTGGAGCATCTCCTGTATGAGGAGAGACTGAGTGAGTTGGGCCTGTTTAGCCTGGAGAAGAGAAGGCTGAGAGGGGATCTGATCAATATGTAAAAGTACCTGAGGGGAGAATGTAGGAAGGAAGGGACCAATCTCTTATCAGTGGTGGCCAGTGACAGGACAAGGGGCAATGGGTGTAAGCTGAAACACAGGCAGTTCCATCTGCATGTGAGGAGGAACTTGTTCACTGTGAGGGTGACAGAGCCCTGGCACAGGCTGCCCAGGGAGGCTGTGGAGTCTCCTTYTCTGGAGATCTTCSCAACCCACCTGGATGCCGCTCTGTGCCCCGTGCTCTGGGTGTCCCTGCTGGAGCAGGGGGTTGGACTAGATGATCTCTAGAGGTCCCTTCCAACCTCAACCATTCTGGGATTCTGTGTAAATACGCCACCCTCTACCCACTTGGACAGAGTTATGATAACAGCCTCTTAGATATTAAGGCTTCTTAGCAAGTGTTAATGAAGCAAGAAGGTCTGCAGGTCTCTCTGAAATACTGATTTTGCCTTCTACCGTGAAATATTGTCTCTCCCTGATGCACGTTTTCACAGCTCTGTATTTGCAGCTATCAATATTACACATTTGGTGTGAAGGCCACCAACCTCTAGCAGCAGGAACTCAGTTGCCATTTGTACAGAAAGAAAAAAAAMCCCCGTACAACAGCATGGTTTATTCCAGGCCTGTCTTCCTTTGTCCTCTCCCTTTCCACCTCATTCATAAAGAATATGGTGACCATAAGCAAACCTGTTTGTCCAGAAAACTTCATTTGTTTGGTCCTAAGTCAAGACATGAATGTCTATAAAGTGATATCATTAATTTAACAGCAGGTGTATATTTTTGCTTTCTTGATCATATAGCCAACTTAACATTTCCATTATTTCCAAAATATGCATGTGTTGCTTGACTAGGAAACTGTGTAGTGGTATGTTATTTGTGACTGAGSGTTTTAAAGGTGGTAGGACATGTTCATGCAGCTTGAACAATGTAATCTCAGCTCCATGAATTCTAAAGTCAAGAGGAATCATGTCGTAGAAATACATGRAAAGTTAGGTACAAAGCGAAAGGACCAGCCCCTCTTTATTCTTATATATCCCATCCTGTTCAAGATTAACACTGTTTGGTGGTAGCCAGCTGTTAGTATGACATTTTCATCTATCCTAACCCTATTCTCTCCTCAGTCCTTAGCAGCTTTGCGAACTTCTGTAGGTCTGTCTGTTCCTTCCACACATCCTGCATGGTAGGTCAAACCTTTGCCATAAGGGTTTCTTGACAGTTCCGTACAGTCAAGACAACTGTTTTTCAAAATGCCTTTATTCATGCACTAATTCTACATTGTTTATACCAGTGAACATGAATCAGAAACTGTTGGGTTTGCTAAAAATTCCRTTGGCCATGCTAAGGCAAACAGTTTACCTGGAGAAGTGCGTAAGAGAGCACCTAATCCCAAAAGCAAATTTCATACAAGTCAGAGCTCGCAGATGTTTGCAAAAATGAGATAACAGACTAACTGAGGAGAGGGTTTTTTTGCTGATAACTCTATCTCAGCACTAGCTGATTCACAAGCAATGGCTATAACATTATACCCCACCTGGAACTAGCCTGCTCATGTGAACGTTATTTGTGTATTGYAAAAGATGCAGTTGGACTTAAGTAAGTCCCTTAGTGGGACTTAGCTAAAGCTTTTTCACCCACTAAGTCGATATCCTTAGCACATAAGGGTCCACGTAAGGCCGAGCACGGGTGCTGGTCCAGGGAGTGCTGGCAGAGCCCAAGGGAGAGGCAGGAGGAAGCAGGAAAATCTTTGCTCAGGGGATGTGCTGGGTAATGTCCCCATGCACCCTGGAGAGCGGCCAGGCAGGAAGGGTCTGAGGGGAAGAAGGAGCGTGGCTGAGCGGTGAGGAAGGTGGGAAGACTCCTTGTGGCCCAGCCACGCTGGTAGAAACATGTTGGTATCTGAGTGGGGAGGATGAGACTTTTCTCCATACCTAAAGCCCTGGTGGAAATMATGTGGAAACAGGAGGATGAGAAGATGTGGTGGGACAGGACCCCCTGATTCGTGAGGATCGCGGTCTAACAGGAATGTGGGCGTCTCTAATTATAGTCACCTCTAATTTCCGGCTTAAATCCCGTTGYACAGAGAAGGACTTTGTCTCAAGGTTTTGTACTGAATGGAGACAAGATCCCCAGGTAGAAAAGAGGCCAAATTTTCTCCACAGCTACTGAAAACCCTTCGTGTACCTGCGTGGCTGGGAAGAGCATGGTCAAACGCCAGCCAAAGCCTGGGCTGCTCTCCTGTCTTTGATGCTGCTTCATAAAGCAGTGCTTCAGGCTCCCACAGGCAGCAGTGCTCACCCTAACTTTGGATTTAGCTGTCTGCCTGGAGCTGTCTGAGTGTCTAAAAGGTAACTTAAACTTAAACTTAAAACTTAGCACTTTTTAAAGTTGAGTATGTTGATAAATATGCTGCATTTGGTGTGCTGTCCTTGACTGTCACAGATGAAGTTACTTTGGAAAACAAAACAAAACAAAAAAATGGAAAATGTGGAAATGTTGTTTCAGCTAGAAGAATGCTCAATGGAAAAAAAATCTCTTTTTTTTGGTCGGTATCCAATGATAAACAGTGTGTTTCCAACACTGCCATAGGTCAAGAGAGTCCCTTTCCCCAGCAGAATCTGTGAACCAGGACACTGAAGACTGAAAAGCTGGAGTACTTCCTAAGTGGCTGGTAACCTGTATTTGCCTTMTCCATGTACCTGAAACTCCCTTAATATGAGTTTGAGCAGCAATTCCTTGGTCTTCGTGTCATCTGCTCCCTGAATCAATGAGGATTCAGAAATACACATCTCTTTTTGTCTTGTATCYTGGAAGGATTTGACATGGTGGCATTGCCTAATGCACAGTGGCACAAGTGGTTTCCYACACGGACACAGAGCAGGAAGGGGTGGAAACTCCTTTTCTTCAAGGCCTGCCCAGCTGAGATGATGATAGAGTCCTGCTTCACGTGATAGCCTGTCTCAAGACCTCCTCACCTGTATTGCTCGCAGGAGCTGCAGGTGCAGGACAGTCCTTAGTCCCTCCTCAGCTTCAGGGGCCTCTGGAGAGCTCCAGATGCTACCAGTTGCTCTGCTAAAGGTTTGTCTGAATAGCAGCCAGCTCTGCAGGAGAGCTGGGTACAGCTGCTGCCCTTGCAGTCTACATAACTCTCCTTGGCCACTGCAGCCACCATCATGTCCTACATGTCCCCCTCTCCCTGCTCCTTCCAGCCCCAAGGTAGCTGGGCTCCTGTGCCCAGGCTGCACTCWCTTTGTTCCCTGTCCCCATGAGCGCAGGCGCTACTGGCTGCCTGGAGGGAGAGTGTCCAGCTGGATACCCATGGGGCTATGGCCATGGTGGCCTGTCTGCTTCCCTGTGTGCATGCACACGTAGGGGAGAGCTGAGAACAAGGACTCGCTGCTGCTTGGGGGACCTGCTTTGGGACTGGAAAGGCCAC